TCCTACCTCTTTCCCTTTAGCTCGCATACCTTTCCTTATTCGGGAAATTTGTATATTATTTTTCAAAAAACAAAAATTACTCAAATGCCTCGATCCTCTCTATAAATGTTTCTAATAGCTACTCCCTCTTTTTTTCATTGTCATTTAAAATTATGCACAAGAATTAAGAAAATAATTAATATTTTAACTTTTTTAAAGTATTTATTATCTATTTTCTTGTTATACCCTTTAGGTGGTTAGAGAAGAAATATATACATTAAAAAATAAATAGACATATTATTCAGTAAACATACATTAATTATTAAAGGTGAAAATAAAAAAAAAATTAATAAATTATTGATTTTAAAAAAATGATAATTAAAAAAAAATACTGACAAAACGACTATGAAAAAAAAAATCGGAGAGAGTATTAGAATGAGATGGCTCATTTTTGTTTTCTTCTTCCTCTCATTGAGAGATTTTAACAGGATGTGTTGTTACCAGTTAGTGGGGAATGGATCTCTCTTGTGGGTTTTCACATGATAGGGAGAGATAGACACCAAGAAACTAAACCCCACTGATTTTGATACGGCCCCTACGTATAGGTTCCATGTTTTTGGTTTGTTTCTATGCCTACCTGAATCATTCTGTCATTTGAAAATCTTACATAGGATTGTTTATTTCATGTGTTGCGGTAAAATAATAAGTTCAACTCGTTCAGACAGACTTGATTTGACGAGTCATTAATAGATGGTGGCCGATTTGAGGAGGAATTTCTTGCTCTATGGACTTAGTTCATGATTCGTATAAAAATTATTATAATCTGTGAATTTTCGCAGTTGAGGAGACAAAATGCATCATCTATATAGAATCATGCTTTATCAATTACCAAGCATCCAATGGGTTTTAAACTTTTAGAATATTGTGGAATATTAACAAGGTTTTCTGAATTTTGTCGATGGAACTAACAAGAATCACATGAATTACGCCTTCATGTATATATTAAACGTTCCACCTAAAATCACATTTTATTATGACATTAATTATTAATAAATTGGTTTTGTTGGAAATTACTTTAAAAGCAGTATCTAAGAAATTAATAAATAACTTTTAATAAAGAATTTTGATAAATTTAATAGTTAAAAATTCTATTTCTTTTTATAAGAGTTAATAGAAAAATCGTTCATAAAATGCGTATTGATTGAATTAAGGGTTGGAAGATATGAGAGGGGATTAACATGTTTGGAAATCGAAAGGAAATGGATTGATGGCAAACACCGACAAACAAAAGACAATGTGAATGACCTGGAAAATGTGGTATCAGTGTCATGCTTAAAGACCCAATCCGACAATGTGGTAAGCCCAAGACAGCGACAAGCCAGTAAATGGCAATAGTTAAAATGACTTGGAAAATGTTAAAAGGTTTTACTCGTCAGAGTCGGTGTCGTGTGAAAAACTTTTCTGTCCTTTTATATTAATTTTTCTTGTTAATATTTATATTGTATTATGTTTGAATTTTATTTTAAAATAATTATGAAAGTTGTGTTCTTTTATTTTATAACATGGGTCATATAAATTATGAGCTTTTGCATTAAATTAAATTATCTTTGGGTGTCAAGTTTTAACCTTCCAAAGAACCCTACAAATTTAAGATTAGAAGAGTGAATAATCAATAATTAAAGAGGAAAGTCATCATGAATTATCAGACACGACAAATTAAAACAAAATATCATAACTCTACCAAACTTTTACAAATTTTACTCCTAAATAACACACAGTCATACAAATTACTCTTTAATTAGTCGCAAATGTCACTTATCCTAGCTCCTGTCGTACGGGACAGCTTACGTGTCCACTTTATGAGAAGAAAAAGGATAATTTTTATCAATCTGGCCCGTTCTTTGAATTATGTTATGTACGAAGAGTTGCTTAACCAGTTCAACTTATATTTGCTAGCCTCTAATGCACTGTACATGACATTAACTTGTAACTTCTAACCGGAAAGAAGAAAAATTGCAGCTTGCAACTGACAAAAAACGAAGTAAATTGAACGGTACTTGTATATCTTGTTTGGTGATTGACGGAAACTCTAAAATGATCTTACTCCATTTCTTAATCCAAAATCTCAAGCTTATTGTATACATATTTAGTCCTCAAATTTTTATTTATTTATTTTTTTGGAAAGGGGGGGTGTTATTTTTAGGAAAAGTGAAAGTCCCAATGCTATTAGCTACGCTCTGTTGAAAATTTATATATTCTTTTAGCTGCAAAAACAATAATCCAATGGTAATTCTATTAGTTATTTATATTTTTGTGGATTTATTCTTTTTAATGCTTCAAAATATATAGTATATGTATAATTATTAATAAAGAGAATATATTTTTAAATAACTGATTTAATCTCTATTTTTTTTCGAACTTTTTAGTCCATTCGATTATGCAATAGTAACTCTTTATGGATAAAGATAAAATGGAAAAAAAATATATATATATATAAAAAATGTAACCTTCTGTATAACTGTTAAAGACACAAAGTATATCAGGTAAGGAGCCAACGACATACTAAAAATTCAAATTAAACATTATTGTTTATTGATTAGTTGAAACTTAATAATGTCTAATTTGGCCCAAAATTTTAGTTGTTAAACTAAGAATCAACCAAGGCTTACAAGAGAAATTTTACCTCTAATGTTAAAGAATCTCTTTGAGTTTATATATTTAAAAAAAAAATAGAATTTTAATAGTCGGATGTATCTATGAATTATATTTTAAGTAATCAAGTGAGTTTGATAGAATTAAAAAAAATTGTGTTAATTATTAATATTTAGTGGGTTATATTTTAAATAACCAAGTTAATTAAGTGAGATGTGATGAGCACCAAATGTGTGGATATTCTTTATTGACTCAAACATAATAAGAAATCCAATAAAGTCAATAAATAAGGAACTATGGTTACGGTATCAATATACTGAAGTCTAAATCGTACAATTGTCTCTCTTCTCCCGTATGAAGAAATACAAAGATTCTATTAAGAAATCAAAAGATTTGGATTAAGGAATACAACCACCACTTATTTGTTCATGACTTTAATTTCTACATGACTTTAATTTCTACAAGTCTTTAGCATCAAAATGATTGGTGATCTTATGAATCTACATATTTATTCTAATTATAGTCAAAATGTTATAAATTCTAGGAATTTCGGTGTATTATTAATATTCTATGGTGTATATGCCTATGATATATTATTTTATGCTAAGTACGGATTAAAATTCCAACTAGCTCCCCTCAAGAAGAGCATACTCTACTGCATAATCAATTAGGATAGACATAAACTGAAATATTAAAATCCTGTCTCTAAACATTCCGAAGCATTGATAGAGTAAAATAAAATAAATTTTGCATACAAACAAGTCACAAGTTTGAGCCTCTACTTATCTTAGAATAAGAAAAATGTAATTTTTTAATAAGTATTTTTTCTTTGTAAAAAGTTAAAATATTCATCTTAAATGAAAGAGTTTTTAAAGATGATTATTTAACAAGAATGTTTTTAAAAAAATTTCTTAATATATTATCTTTATTTTTTTTTTTTGTCTATGAATATGATCTACGTAATATCTTAAAATTGATAATTAATGACTAATTTGTGTTAGTGAGACGTGATTTTTGTTGGCCAAACATATTTTTAAATTAAATTTTAATATTTTTAAAAGAAATTATCATTCATTAAAAATAAAATTATATCACAATATAAATTATGTTTAATAAAAAAATTCATGTATTGTTGCATTAACTAATACTAATATTTTTTTATTTTTAAGAATTATAATGACGGCATTAAAATTAGAATATGAAATTCTATGCATATTACCCTCAATTCTTTTTCCACCGCTAGGTTGATTGCAGTGCTCTACTAAAATACTAGTATATTTTAAAGAAAAACATTTTTTTACCTTAATCTGAGACCCCATGATTTCATCTTAAAACTTCATCTATAAAAAAATAATAATAATAAATAAATAAATAAAAAGTGGTCTCTAGATAGTAGATAATGAGCTAAATTATATTAATGTCACTATTTTTTCAGTCCGCTTCCTTAACATAGATCGGATTGATTTTCAGCTAACCTGCTATATATTTCCTTAACTGATTGAATAACACATGCACCTTAATAAAAACCAGAAAGCTGGGATAGTCACCAGTCAAACTCCTTTGTATGAGGTGGATAACATAAGCCCAAATTACAATTTTTTGTAGACAAGAACAATGATAATGACAAGCCCCACATTGTCTTTGTCCATCATGCATTATTCACAAAACTCAACCTTGCAACTTTCTGCGCCATTAACTACTATATGCCAAACACAATGACCCATATGGCCTAGGCATCTCTGTTAGATCTACATAATGTCCATTTCTGTTAATTAACTCCATGGATGAACATATATACTATTACACTCACCTTTGAGGTACCCCTTTGATTGACTTCTCGATATTCTCTCAACTAATTAAATAAAAGGAAAGAAATATCGTGTTAATATACAGAAAAATGTGAATGCCATAAGGCATCTAAAAGATATGTTATAATCTAAAGATAATGAAAAAAAATTTACACAATTTATGATTATTTAAATGCTAATTTCTAACATATGGAATCCTAATCTGGCCAGATTAAATAGGAAATGTTAAAATGATAATAATTTCCTAAGAACGTTTAATTTACTAAGATAAAATCCTAAAAAAATGAAAGTTATGTCAAATAAGAGAAGAAAAAAAATTCTAAACTAATATATAATTCCAAAATAATGCACTTAATAATTCTGAAATGTGCTCCTTCACTGAGAAAATGATATGCATTTTAAGGATAGTTTATTTTTTTATATGTCTGACCAATTTTGAGGCTCTAGCTAGTACCTAGTTCCTCATCATCTTGGACACTGGTTATCTACACAGTATTGGTGGCTATCAAAGTATGCGCTGCAACGATCAGATCAATTACCACATTAGTACTATAGCCTTTACTCACTCCAGAAAGAAGATCCATCTAGGAAAAAAAAACACATCAAAAGATCAAGACCTACAATGATGAATTTAGAGAGAGAGAGAGAGAGAGAGGACCGAGCTTGTTAAAGCAAAGGAACTAGAGGGATATATAACTGCGACATTCCTAAGAAACTAGGAATAGACAAGCAAAAGATGAGAAGGAAGAGATCATTGCTAAAAGTTAACCATCGAATAAAATAGAGTTCCATGTATTAACTTGAAAGTAGAAAAACAAAAGACGCTTAAAAGGAAAAAAAATGAACGATTTCATTCCTAGCTAGGCCTAGCTAGTTATAAATTTTTTTCCTTAAATGGATATTTATATTTAAGAGATCATGTCAATCCTCCAACCGTAATTCACCTCTAAAATCAATATTTGGCCTTTTAAATTTCACCATATTGACTTATTGTCATAATTATTTCCCCTTTCTTTTTGGTGAACCTTTTGTTGGTAAAGTTACATACTTAGATTCACTGAGATTCCTGTACAGTTCAGAATTGTAACGATTTTAGTCGGTACGTTAACTTTAGCTAACAATAATCCTACTTGGTTGCTTTTCTTGCGTGGAAAAATCATGGTTACTTTATGCAAAGAAATATAAACTATAGATATATTTTTGAAAATAAAGTTAGATACATATGATAGAGTAATTAAACACGAGTTGTAGGCCAAAATTGTCATTCCCCCTAAACCATAATACTTTTGAATTAATGCGTGGACAAAGAGACACACAGGGTCTGCGAAATTATTAAAACTATGCAAGAATTGAAGAGTGATCGAAGAAACAGGTACCAAAAGGGTGTTGATCATGTGGGTGGCAACGGTGGTCAGTGATTGCAGTTAACTATTAACAGTATTTATGTACAAGTGTTTTTGTTGACTAAAAATGTAAATGTTGGTGGGTGGTTCTTTCTTCCTTCCCTCAATTCTAAAATGTCCCTCACTGAGCAGAAGAGAAAGAGAGGGTAGATCGAACAGTGAGGTTTGCATGCAACAGGAACAAGTGAAAGCAGTAGCGGAGACACGGACTGAGTCTCTGCTCCTAAGACCCGACCAGAGCGTGCACCCCAAAGCACTTGCTGGTTTAAGTGTTAACTATTTGCTTCCCGAGGAACACTACCTAAGGGTGTCAAACAAACACATTCGCTACTCTTAATTCCCTAGGAACAATTAAACTAAACAACCTTACCAACTTGTTCATTATTAATTATATATAACTTGTAGTTGTACAAATATTAGTACTTGTACTCCCAAGGATATATATGTTTAAACCCTTAAGCTACTTTACATTTATCAGAGTAATATCCAAATGCCGTAACCCCTTCTGGGTCGGTCACGTAGTCATAACTCATGATAACTGTTTACTTACTGTTATATAAGACATTTTATGTCTCTATGTAAAAGTTTTGGTTATTTTTATAAATTGTCTATACTCACTTACTTAAGCGTTGAAATGTGTGTACATGTATTTGCATGTTTTACTTCTTATTACATATGTCGTCGTTGTTGTTTACTGAAACTTTCTCTGTCGCATGAAGCGTCCACCACGTTTGGAGATATTAAAATCACCCTTGTTATTCATTTTGTTGATGATTCGACAGTTTGAAATGATTGATGCCTTTATTATGTTAAATTTCACACTTGCTTAATTAGATTTGGCCTGATTCGAAAATTAGTAAAGTATTATTAAGTGAAAAAGGTGATATTATAAGACAGTACGGTATTAAAGATGGGGCAACATTGCTACAAGGTAGTTTCTGAATTCTGTCTGTATATCGTGTGTGAAACGGGAACAGGATTTATTGTAGTAACGAGATAACAAATAGTCTTCGAGGTTTCAACTTCGTTGACTGACTTTGTATTTGGTCTTACATTTCCTACCACAATGGTAGGTAGAGTTGTGACTAAGTTTATTTTATCAAGAGTATTATTATTATATGTAAAATCTGATCCACCTTTTTTTCCACACTGTTCTTACAAACGTTCTTTCAAGTCCCAAGATAATCTCATCATCCATCCACGACCTGACTTTTTCCCACTCTCAGTACCTCTTTTATATATTTATTTTCCCTTTTGTTAAGTCACACTTCACAAGTGATTTCTTGTCTCCTTTTTTAATTTTTTTTTACTTTATTGAGTCTGCTTTACCCACATTGGATTTCTACGCCTCTTTTAACTCTTCATCCTGACTCTTCAATTATGGTTATTTCTTAAAATCTCAAACTTATCTTTTGCTTACCTTTATCTCTCTCTCTCTCTCTCCACTACCCTTCCCTTTATATTTCTTCTCTATAATAACCTAATCCTTTCTACACGATATAGTGTATCATATATCCCTTCCTTTCCCACCTCTCATCATGACTCATCCCTACTGCTCCAATGACTTCAATGCTTGGTTTGACCTCAATTCTCCATGCCTTTTCTCTTCTTCTTCATCACCCTGCTATTTTCCTTCCACAACTTATCATCATCATAGCTTCACAAGTGGCATCTCTTTCACTCAACACCAATCTTCTCCCTCCTCTCACCCTCCAAAAGAAGCCCTTCCTCTCCTTAACCTAAGCCCTCCAAGAGGTGAAGATCTTGAATCTTCATTTAGTGCCATGAAAGTGAACAACAACATGAAGGAGAAAGAACTAAGCATCATGTCATCTAATGATAACTCTATGGATGATGACACTGTGACGGTGGCTTTGCACTTAGGGCTTCCAAGCACTACTTCAGCTGATTTAACTTCAAATTTATACTCCACTGAGATTTCAGACAAAGAAGAAAAAGCCACGGTTGCTTCTGAGTATTCGCCTGGTAGAATTAACAAGGGTCAGTATTGGATCCCTACCCCAGCTCAAATTCTGATCGGTCCAACACAGTTTTCATGCCCCCTTTGTTTCAAGACGTTCAACAGATACAACAACATGCAGGTATAGATTTAAAATGATGAAAACATTAATTGAGAGTATATGGGTGGTAGAAAGAATCAAAGAAAGAAAAAGAATGTCTTTCTTTTACCCTTTTTTCCCCCTCCTACTATCCTACCTCCTACTTTCCCAGATCTTACTTTTGTGGAAATTTTCTGAAAAAAGAAAATGTCCATTTCTATATCCTGTAACTATACACACACTTGTATACTCTTCTTTTATATAGCATCACTTTAATTTTCCACCTATAATCTTGTCTCCAATTCATGATAGTACGGGCACTTGTGTAAGTGTGTAATTTAATTAGGGTTTTTGTTAAAACTATTGCATGTCCTTTATTTTTATCTTAATTAAGCTGATTTTAACTGTTTTACCACACCCCTTTTGTAGTTGAAGAGATAAAAAAAATGGAAAATTAATTACCAGGCCAATTAGAGATCAGTATATTTAAGTCTACATTTTTGGATCTTCAAATTGTTAATTAACTAGTATTGGTAGAAAGCAGCAGGGGGTGACTATTTATCTCTAGGGCTTATTAAATCTTAAGCTAGTGTGCTGGAACAATGTTAACACCAACATGATCGAGGAGACATAAAGTGAAACATCATCAATAATTATTTTTATCAAAAACTCTAGTACAACACGCAAGGAGTGAATTTTATTTATCTTTTTCATCTCCATAAACGTAAACACAAAAATAGCTGTCCAATATTCCCTTGTTGGGCTTCCTTGCTACTACTTTATTAAGATGCCCTACATTGTCACCTTTTTCTTTAGTCCTAGACCATAGGTGACTAAGAAGGATTGAAACATGTGGAAAAAGACGTGGCTCCTTGATTATATACATATCCTCTTAGCCTTTCTGACTCAAAACCTTGGCCGCCAGCTTGGAAAAAATAATTTGTAGTCTTAACAAAGTTACATGCAATGCAACAAAGGTAGAGTTTGTAGGGAATGAGGTTTCACAGTGAGGTTTTTGGACCTTATCGATAGAGCCAGAGTTTTTTTAACTTGTGAGTGACTTTAATTCATTAATATTCTTCCCCCACATCCTTTTTCAACTAACTATTTGCTCTTGAATGATATTGTTCCATTCCAAATTAAATACCTACAGATGCATATGTGGGGGCATGGATCTCAATATAGGAAGGGGCCTGAGTCTCTAAGAGGAACACAGCCAACAGCAATGCTTAGACTCCCTTGCTATTGTTGTGCACCTGGATGCAAGAACAACATTGACCATCCAAGAGCAAAGCCACTCAAAGATTTTAGGACCCTTCAAACACATTACAAGAGAAAGCATGGAATCAAGCCCTTCATGTGTAGAAAATGTTGCAAAGCCTTTGCTGTGAGAGGTGACTGGAGAACTCACGAGAAGAACTGTGGGAAGCTTTGGTATTGCTCTTGTGGATCTGATTTTAAGCACAAGAGATCCCTTAAGGATCATATTAAAGCATTTGGGAATGGACATAGAGCTTGTGGAATCGATCATTGTCTTGATCAAGATGATGAAGCGGGGTCTGAAATTGAGCAAGAGAATGAATCTTTAATTTCTAGTCATAGTTGATGTGTGTTTTTCAACTATGAAGACATGCTGATTGACGATTCTCATCTTTTGAACTAATTATATTGTTGACTAAGACTACCATCACTAATTAACGAGTTCTCCACTCCCCCTCTTTCTTTTTCTCCTTTATTGATTTTCTCAACTGTGTCTTGGTTTTGCATATTCTGGTTTTGGTTTCGCTCTCTCTCTCTCTCTCTAACAAGGTCATGTTAAAATTTCATGTTAATTTTGATTCCTTTTCTCATTTGGGCTTTGGTTTCTCCTCTCCTTTCCTCTCTCTTGTAAACATCGCACAAAAACAAGGTCGTGTTAATTTCTCTTTCTAATAAACATTAAATAAAATTCCACCTCAATTTTATTTTTAATATTTATCAAAAGTGAGATTAATACAAAAGTTAAATGTATTCTTTTGTTTACGTAAAAGGATATATTTACCATATACATACATGTCAATATTTCAATATTGTTCGCTAGGATTTTCAAATGATCAACACCGTAAGAATCATCATTAACTTAGAAAGGTGTGCAGATACATCATACAAGCAACACCGGTCTTAGCTTTGTACTCGCTCACTTTTTCCTAATATAAGACACTAGTCGAGTCATTATTAATTAGGGCAGACTATAGTGGTAATGGCAACGATGTTCAAAGAAACTCGCGTGCACGTTTAAATTTGAATAAAATTTTGATGTAATATAGTTTATGTAATTTGGGTGTTAGTTTTTCAGTTAAAATTATAATTTTACAATGATCTAATTTTTTGTATAGATTAACGATAGAAATTTTAATTAAAAAGAAAAACATTGCAACTAAATTTAATTCTTCTCAGCTTAAAACAAATTGTTGCTCGTGTAAGCTAAAGTATGTCAAGACTAACATAACCACGTTACGGGTACTACGTTTATAATTACAGAAACGAAGGTGCGCAGCAAACTTTAATTGTTTCAAAAACGAAAAGGGAATATTGATCACTAGCAAGCAAGCTATATACAAGTGCAAATGCTGTTGGGGGAAGCTTTTGAGCCTGTCATTGCTCAGCTTTATGACTCGTATGATGCTACTATTTCCCTTTTGTTATGTCCACCATGATGGACCGATCAATACTATGTTTAGACTCACCATAATGATTTCCATGTAAATCATTAGCTTCTGAACCAAAATGGCTAGCTGTTTTTCTTTTCACATCTTTTAAAGCGGATAAGTATATAATTAATGAATATATTGTTGGTTATCAATTTGGTCTCTCCGCATAAAAAATTTATAGCATCGGTTCTTATGCGTTTAAATGTTATTGATTTAGTCTCTATTATTTTGATAATTAATTTTTAATACATTTTTAATTTAGTTTTTATATAAGTTTTTTTTATATGATATACAATGATGTTCAAACATATGATTTCATACATAAATTAATTTCATGTATAAAGACTAAATGTACTGATGATTAAATTAAGAATATGTTACTCCATCGTATATTTAACATTAAAATGAAAAAAAACAAATAAATAAAAAGGATCAAACTGGCTAGGAGTGCAATCATAACATGCAGAAGCATTTATACATTTAATATTGGGAATTCAAGGTTGGAAGGGATGCATTGGATCTTGATGGCAGCTTTGTGGGTTCAGATCTGAGTTGTGAGGGTCAGAACAGAAGTTCTTGAAATGTCATTTCAAAGTACAACACATTCAGTGTTTGAATTGTAGCGTGGCTTCACACTTGAGGCTATTTCCCTCATAAAACCAACCAACAAAAACGGGACTCCACGTTCCCTGTCTCCATCTCTCTCTCTCTCCAACACCCTTTCGCTTTTTTTTTCTCCTTTTGTTGAGTAAATTCACTTTCCTTCTATCTTTTTTCAGTTCAACTTCGAGATCAAAGAGTATTCGCATACTACCACTGTTATCACTTACCAGAGTTTGTAATTCTAGTTCAACTCCATCGATCGCCATTTAACTTTCCAATAATTATTATTACAGTAAAAAGGCTAGGGTGACGAAAACGATAACTAATTATGTGATTCTTTTCTTGTTATCCATGGTGTCCAGTGTAACGTCAATCTGTCACAACATCCCCAATGAGCACAAACTTGTCATCTTAACAAAGAATGATGTGATGTAACCTTTGAGACGTTTACACCTTCCTCTATTCCATCCATCAAATAAAATCAACTTTGCCGCATAATACAAACTGGTTGCACAACAAAAAATCATCAATATCCAGATGCAATATTCATCCTTCAAAATAACAAATGAAAGGACAAGTATGAAATTCTTTCAGTTTAATTAATATTTAAATATATAATTATGTTAAATATTTAAAAAAAAATGTGCACTGTCTATAATGTTTAGTAAAAATTATATATAGTTATATCAAATATTTAAAAAAAAATTATTATTTATAATAGTTGTACTCAGGTCAAACAGAATTATATATATAGATAGATTTTGGATTTTCCTTTTTTACTGCAACCTTCTCCAATGGTTGAGATCGTAGAGAATATTAGGATTTTGGGGACCATTACAAAATCAAACCCATGGAATAAAGTTGATGTTGTACATATTGTATCCAAAGGCAACCATGTAGCTAGCAGCAATATATATGGGGCAATGGGGCATGTAGGGCATGGAGATTACAGTGTAAGCTTTTATATATGTGTATAAGCAAGATTACTGTTAAGTTATCGGTGTCATTATTACAGTGCGATAGATAGGGAGAAGACAACATCAATACTCGGAGAAAAATGCGTTATGCTCGATTTTCTGTCCGTGTGGGGCAATTTTGTCCCCTTGATAAATCAATCGGATCAATGAAAGCACGTCTATAAAGAATACAAATTTATTTAAGGGTAAAATGACGTTTCATCCGAGGGTGTTTGCTCCTATGCTACTTTATATATGCATACAACTAATGTAGTTTAAACATATGTTTTGCCTTTCATGCAAAAAAATTAAACAAGTTTATAAGTCAAAATTTAAGTATATATTATTATTATTATTATTATTGAAAAAGCTAACAACAGAGTAGAATTTAATTTCAAACTCTTAATTGCTTGAAGAAATTGCCAGACTGTAAGTGTTTTGACAAGAATAACTAATTAGTTGAAAATTGAAAGTTAATTGAAAGTTGAAAAAATATTAGTTAAATGCTAGAAATTAATAAGCTAGTTTAACGAGTGTTGGGTAGGGTCAAATTTTTTTTTCATAGAAGAATATCTTTTTACGCAATTATAATTTTAGTTTCTTCACAAATTTTGAATTCTTTTTTTTTTTTGTTGAAAAGATAAATATATCTCACTAAAAATTGAAGTGAAGAATGTAATATAACTAAAGTAAATATATAGTATAATATGATAATTAAGTTAAAATATTTTAAAAATAGAATAATGATTAAATAATTTATCTTTACTCCTTTACTCATATTGCTAATTTTGAATTGTAATAATCAATATTTTGACATTGTATTTTTTAATTTTCCATTAATAAGTTATACATTATTTTCTTTTTTCTTTTGAGTAAAAAATTGTTTATCAACATACCTATTACGATTCGAGTATTCCACGAAATTTCATATTTAGAGATTTAGAGAATGTGTGAATACATTTTGAATTAAAATATTAAATTGAATACCAAAAACAGTGTGAAGTGTTTAAGAATATTAAAAAATTAATACACCTTTGTATTAAAAATAACCAAAATATTATAACAATAAAAAAACAGTTTAAATACTTTAATTACATTATTCTATTATCCTAATAAAGTAGTAAACAAAATAAAGCGTGAAAGTGTATTAAAACATTAAGAATAAATATGCTAAGAAAATAAACAACCAACTATAAGCTGTAAAATAACTGAAATTATAATTTATAAGCTAACATAAAACAATAAATCTAATCAAAATAAAGTATATAAACTAACCTAAACACTCTATTTATGCCATAGAACTAATAATCAAAAAGATTAATCTTTTAGTTCAGATTCGTATATTACCCAAACAACTTGTACGTGTTTGAGAATTTAATTAAGAACTTCATACGGTCAATATTTGTTATGAAATTCAAGTCGTCGGTGCATTTGTCTTGGATGTAATAGAGTTATGAGATTTCAAAAGATAAAAGCTAAGTGCAATAGTGAAAACTGACCATATTTGGCTGTTTATAAGGGTTGGGACAAAATTCTTAAGAATAAGTTATAATTTATAACATTTAAAAACATCCAACATATAAATATATAGATTATGCTTCTGTTCTGTTGGCATGTGAGTGTTATTCCATAATAAAATATTAGACCTGTCATCTGAAGCTGATCTTCGTATCTAGTATTTTTGTTTTATATATTATATTAATTAATTTCACTTTAAATATGAAAAATATGTTATGAATATCATCGTAGACATTTATAATTATTTACTGTTCATGAATAAAAATTTTATAAACATCTTTATAAGGTTATGATATAATTAGTTCATTCGTTTATAAACACTTAAATTTTTATAGAAAGTTTTAGAATTTCTCAAAAAAATAACATTTGCATGAGATATATTCTTTTTTGCTATCATCTTAGGTAATAATTTTCTTTATTGTCTATCACACGCACACACAAAACTTATTTATTCTCTTAATTTCTGTTCGATGTTAGTAATTATTTAATTAAGTTACACACTTTTATTTACCTTTTTTTAGAAGACACTTGTATTTACCAACTTTGTATTATATCTTGCAATATAGTAGAAAATTATAATTGGTGGCTATTGGCATCAGCAAGAAATTTTTATTCTTTGAGTTTTACATGCTCAAATCTATTTAGAGGCAAATAGTATTGGTGATATTATATCAGAGAAGAAAATTCAAGTATCTTAAAACAGTGATATCGTCTCCCCTATATAACATGCAGAAGGAAAAACATATTGAGTACCTTACACAAGATTCAATTGTATACATAAGGGGTGAAAGAACTTTTCTTTTTCTTTTTTGGGTAATAAACGTAAAAAGTGAACTGAGAACCAAGCTGATTATCAAAGCAGGCAAATGGTCTGATGGCTTGCAGGATGCCAGAAACAGTTGCAAGGGGGGAAATGGATTCTTCTTCCATTGACAAACTAGTAATTAATATTATCATCATCTT